TTTGTCACGCAGCACATGTACATGCCCCTCCAATACGCTTGTTTCCTTTGGTGAGTGAACATATTTTCTCATCAGGGAAGAATAGAAACAGATCCGAGCCTTGGCTGTGAGTATTTACAGGCACTTTGTGTGAGCTGGATTTACTCTTGCAGAGTTGGTAGTTCTGACTGGATCAACGTGTCACCATTCACAGAGGTTTTAAATGTCCACTAAAAATGTATTTTACCAGCAAGTGGGATAACTTGAAATGCAACTTAACTTCAAATATAGATAGAACAGGATGACAAAATGTTTAAAAAATCTGTTGAAATGTTTTGCCACGGCATGAAAAATTCTTCTTCATCTTGAATTTAACTGCAGTATTCATTTTTACCAACATCGCAAAAAGGAACCCAGCAGCATCGAATTTCAGATGCATGATGCATACAAGCAAACCATTTTTAAACATAAATGGGATTTGGAATTTAATGGAATATCCAAAGCAAACAAGGCCTTTAAACGGGGAGAATAATGGTGAAATAGCTTATTTCAAATGCGAACTATCTAAGTCACAACCTGAATTATTTCACATCCAGACAATGTACACAGTCATTTGGTAAGCCCTTTGTCAAAGAATAATCATCTAGTCCAATGCAGGTGAATAAACTATCCAACATAAATGATAACAATTGAGTTTGCTGCTGACTATATGAACAGAATTTTCTTTGTTTTCCTTTCACTCGTTTACACACAGACATAGAGCACAAAGACTGAGTTTAGGTGAGATGCACAATGAGGAAAAAAGCAACTAAAACAGATAACTGCTGCAACCTTGAGTGGCAAATAGTGCCGAAAATATCAATAGGAAAATGCATAAAAGCGGTTATATGAAAATACAGGTCTGACGTGTATTATGCCAACAAAGTACGGCATGTTTTAATCAAAGACCAAAAGAAATGTGTTAAAAACTACTAAAGTTATCATGTAGAGGGAAATGATTAATTTCCTCATGCATTCATAGTTTTATAAAAAAGGATGACTGCAGACTGCCGCAGTCATATTTGCGTTTTGTATCAAAATTAAGCAAAGCCCACAGAAAGTTTTTTTCCCTTTTTTTTAACAAACATTTTTTGTTTAATTTGGATTTATATCAGGCTCAATGATTCCATTCAGCAGATGTTTAGCTCTCCACGACAAGAGTCTGACTTTAAAACATCTTTTTGTGACAATCCCTAAATACAGACTCCAACTAAATGTGTTTGGTCTGCCCCACATCTGTCAAATGCAGGGAAATAATTGTGGCCCTTTGTATGCAAACATTGACATTAATGAAAAGCAACGCATGGCATTCAGTTTGTTCTCTTTTCAGAAGCTCTGTACTTCTGAAGGAAGGCCAAGCTACAGAGCTATTCATTAGTCCCCCTGGTTTAATTTGTGTTTGCTCTGTACTTTGTGGGGAAAATGCCCTTCAAAAAGTAATTTTCCATGCAAGGAAACTGTGGGTTTTTATGTCTTAAGCTCATCATTTGATTTGATTAAAAGCAACAGAATCACTGGTATTCACAGGTTGTTCGGATCCTTGAGTAAAAGAAAAAAACTGACTGCAGTGACATGCATTATTTCTATGTTTCTCCCCCCAATTCTGAAGTAGCCTTTTTCCAATCGCATGAGACGGTAGGACTGTGAGGTTAGGTTGAAGACACAATTTGCAACTTTTTGCAACCTCAGTTTTAATTGATTTCAAATTGAGATGTCCAAATAAATTGAACATGTTATATTTCTTTGAGCAGTTTTTTGTTTATAATTATGTTTTATGTTCATATGTGTATGTACTGTAATTGTTAGTTTTTTTTTTTGGGGGGGGGGGCAACTTTGTGGGGTGATCCATGTGTTGTATTAAAATGCAAACAAATTCCCCTTAAAATTGGGATAGTCTCTTTTTAAATGTATTTGTTTGTATTTTTTCTTCATTTCAAACAATATTTGATTGCTTATAATGTCTGAGATTGAACCCATACTTTACTGTTATTCAGCTGCACCCCAGAGCTGGAATGAGCTGCATTATTGTACTCACAAAGATCCATTCCAAAGAATGTTGCATCAAATGACCTCGTGATAAGCGATGGAGGAAAAGTCCTCCCACTATATTCTATCATAACTTCAATGCAGATTTTCTGCCTCAGGATATGTTGTAATTCACAGATTGCTGTGTATTTAGTGTGGAGTGAAATCAGGATGGAGCCCTGGATTTCACTGCCTCAGCCCCGTGAAAACAAAAACAAAGTCCTACATTTGTGAGGAATGAGCAGGAAAACGATTAAAATAATTTCCATTGATGGTGAGCATGAACAAACTCTTCACAGCTTCAAATTAGATTTTTCCCCACTAAGTTAACCTCTATATAAGTTTAGCCTATAGTACATCATTGTACAGACTTACTTACCAACTGCTTAGCGTGACATCCCATTAGAAAAAGTCAGAGGTGAATTATTAAGGTTATGAAAACAGTGTCCTGCTGCAGGTGAGATTAAACTACATCTAAATTAAGATGAGCAGCTAAAGACTGGTGGGGAAGATGAACAAAGGTTTAAAAACGGGACACTTGAAGGCCAGAGCTCCAAATAAAACTGCAAGCAACTAGTGAAATTATGTCAAAAACGACAAAACCGGAAGATGGGGAGAGCAGGAAGCTTTGTGGAACTCACAGAGCTGATGGTGTGGAGCTGGGTGACGGAGTGAAGGGCAACGCGGTCAATCAAAGGCCACCTCTCTTCTCTCGGTTCTTGCTTTGGGGTCTTCCTGACAGTAATTCTCTGATTTGACTTTGATGTACCAATTTGTGGTTGATGAATAATTGTCTGGTTTGCTGATAACTTGTGGGAGTCAAGTGTAATCGGGTGGCACTCAATGCAAATGGGAGATATTTGGGCCCTTCAAATCACGACAGTAGCCCCTCTACATTTGCCTCCCCGTTCCGTGAGTAAACTGACCAATTAGCTGTGTTTGAAGAAGCCATTTTTGATTAGAGCAATCAGTAAACAGCAAGCCCTCTCTTTGATTGTCCCCATGATTAGATGAGTTGTCACTTGAGAAGTTGTTTCAGATTATAATTTATGGCCTTATATTGCTGAAAAGTATGGTAATTACCCAATCCATTCTCCACAGTTCAGCACTTAGATTAGAATTCATCCATACTGTTAATGTTGATGACCTCATTCTGCCTCCCAAACTTTTCTTGAGGAGACTCTGAATCGACTGAATCAGGCAAATGGAAGCGTTGCCATTAAGACGCAGATGGATGGCATTGATGTCGGTGGTGATGACATCAAGACAAAGGGACTGTACGGCGCAGCCAAATGAATTCAAATGAAACACTACAGTACACTACTTTGGTTTTTGTCCGTTCTTCATGGTTGCGTTCACCTGATGTCTCCCATGGCAACGTGGCACTCGGTGCTCAGGAATTACCGCAGAATAATCTGCATAAAAGAAAGATATTCACTTCAAAACATCATTATTCATGCCCATCCTTGAGTGTCTATGCATTAGTATCTAATTAAGACTATAAGCCAGTTAATGACCAAAAGATTGTGATGAGTGATAAATTACAACTTTCTTGTGCAACCAAATTAGCAGTTTGATGATCTCTTAAATGAACATATTCATAATACTTCCAACACAATTTTGAGCGTTACAATGTAAAAAAAAGAAAACTGTACTTCAACAGGGTTAAAAAAAAGCTGGATTTTTTTTAGAAACTTTAGAAACTTTCTTTATGTGCTGTCAATTAGAAGATTAAATGCTGCAAAGGATATTGAAGGATTTCGCCCTGTACGTATGTAAGTTTTACTCTGCTTAAAAAAACGGAATATACAGTACATTTAACAGTAAAGGAATGAGTTTCCAGCCATGCAAATGCACTGATTCAAACCTTGTGAAAATCCACATGTGGATGGCTGCTGAAAATACAACTGTAGCTCCTCAAGGCTTTGAAACCTGAATGGGAGATTCTACACGTTATCCAAACCTTAGAAAGACAGACGTAAATGAAAATACAGATGTGTTAAAAATAACGTAAGGCTCTAAAGGCAAACGTGTTGTTTTCAGCTGTGTTGAGGTGCACCTGTTCTGAGTAGGAAAGATGGCTGTAACTTCAAAGTGTAGCAGCTCTGAGAAACCACAGTTGTTAGTTAGTTCAATTTTCTATTTCCCATCTTAGTTCAGCTTTTCATTTTCAGTGTCACCCACTTTGCCAGTCCTTTGTTACCAGCGTAGCAAGTCCTTTTTAGGTGTTTTGGTGCCATCAAAAAATGGTTAAAAAATAAAAAATGATGAGCTCATATTTTTCACAGTCAGGTAATAATGTTGTAAGAACTACTTATAATTTCTAAGTATATTATATACTTGCCCATTGTTTTTAAATATTATGCAGCATCCACATTTCGGAGAATTTGAAAATGTTAAAGTTAGAGATGAAAAATAACTCCACATGTTCCAGCTTAGATATTAATAAGAGCATATGTAAAGGTTTGTGTCACATTGCTTGAATGCCTCAATGGTTACTCTGTTGTTTAGGACAGGAAAGTTTGCAAAGTTTGACGGCTTGGCAAAGACTGGGTCACATGTTTACACATGCTAGCTGAATTAACAGGAACAAACAGAGCTACTTGTAGGGATTTTGTTTGGACATAGAAGCTGATGAAGATTGGATTTCTCACATACCAAGGTTGCACCTTTTTGTGTGCCTTCGCAATTTTTAAATATCGTCGAAGATCAATTAATCGAGAAGGTTTCATTGCCTGACGTACGTGGCCCTAACTCACATCTTGACAATCATGATTGCTGTGTATTGACCACCAAATCCCCAAACGATGGCTTAATCAATACCGCAGACAGAGAAAGTAGGCAGAGGAGGGTTGTGTGTGACACAAAGCCAGGATTAGGCCTGATTAGGGCAGTTTTAACATGTCCTGCTGATTATGGGCCACTGGATCTCGCCGCTAATTAGATGTGAAGTGTGGCTAGCTGCACAGACAGGACAGCAGCCCGAGGAGGGGCTGGCCGCCCAAACTCACCCCCTCCCTCTCACTCTCTCCCCCTTCATTCACTTGTCCCCTCACCACCCCCACAAAGGGATTTGGATGCTCTTTGATTGGATGTGCTGCGTTATGGAGAGGGGACTTGAAAAAGAGTCCCATTTCCCCTTTTGCTGTGCTGCTACCCCCTGCAAGGTGGAGTCAATGTACCTTTTTGGGCTTTCGTATGAGCAGCTGGCTAAAGCGGGCCAAATAAACACTCCAAGTCCACCGGCCAGCAAGACTTCCATCTGAAACAGAATCATTGTCCCATGCGGATTGTCCCCTAATTGGTGTGTCTGAGACAAACTCTCTCTGTGGATGTTATTTGTACTGATGAGGTTTTAATGAAGAGGTAATACACATAAGATACAAGAAAAAGAAGATTAATGTTAGCAGTTACATAGAGAGAAATACAAACTTTTCATACTAAAGAAGCAATGGGGATGGAATAAAAAAGTTAACAACAAAAAAAAGAACTTTAAAAAATATATATAATGAATCTCAGCACATTGACAAATTTTGAGCACAAACAAACACTTTTTTAATCTCACAACAAAATGCTTTATTTCGGCCTCCATCGTGAACAATCGTCATATTTTTGTTGGATAACAATCAGTTTCTTCTACAGGTTCACAGTAATGTCCCTGGTGTCATGCCAGTGTTAGATTTTTCTCTTTTCTTTTTTCTAGAGAAGGAGATCCCTGTCCCAGGGAAACACTGTGATTTAATATTACAGGTTTGTTTATTTAGAAAAAGGAATTTTAATTATTCTTTAGATTTCAATCAAAATGGAAAACAGAAGAATTTGTACAACTTGCAAAACAAACAATAACCATGTCTAATTAAAAAAAACATGTTTTGTGATCCGTAAATTTGAATTTTTCTCCAACCAAGTGTTAATTATGTCTGTGTCCTCATTTGTCAAATTTTACAGGAACCCCTCATTTAATCAGCTAATAAAGGAAGAGAGGAGTAAAGGAACATGGGATTTGGGACGTAATCCTGTTTGCCCCTGAGGTCACATGTTCAACAGAGTTGAATTTGTCAGCTACAGTCTTAAAGTTTATGCGAAGGACAAACGGGAGTCTAATTGTAAATCCCTCTGGAGAGCAGTCAGTGTCTCCTGCTGAATGCTGGAGAGGAGGCAGGTTGTTGCAAGATGAAAATTGAAAAGAAGTGGGTGGTCCTGTTTGGCCCCGTGGCCCTCTGGGACAGTTATTCTGAGACCTCTGTGTGTTCTGGAGGGGCAGATTAGCCTTATGGTATATTTGAAGAAATCATTATGTCCTTCTGGGCTTAATTTGACAGAGCCATTGAGTGATGTCTCCTTCTGTTGTCTTTTGCTATTCATGCAGATGCGTTTGTTTGCGTCTGGCTGTTAGCTGCTGGAATGCTTTTCTCCATTAACTCCATCTTACGGCCTATTATGAAAAGCTCTTCCTTGCAAATCAGTTTTTGATTTGTTTTTCCAACAATACACACCTGTTTATCTCAAAATATATCAAGACTTATGTAATATTCAAAGACAACGATGATTTACTGCAATAGAAATATTTAAACAGAAATGTAGCACAGCCTTATGGGAAATCGCACATAACTTTGCAGTGGTCAACTCACACAGAACTTACCCTTTGCTTACCTTCACTGAGCCGCTCTCCAGTGCTGGCCCTATTGAGCGGTAATCCGCAGACTGGCAGCTGGCCATTACCGTGGCAACGGTGAGCTGGGAGAAAACTGCTTACAGGTTCAAAAGTAAAAAGGAGTGTTGGCGAAGGACAGAGATGAACTCCTTTGTCCCGTAAATGTGTCTTTTACACATGTTGAATTTCTACCAAGTTTCCCCTCATCTTGTCTTGCAAACTCCTCAGAGGTAATGAGGAAATGCTTTATGCAGTTTTGATTGTATTTCATGATGGCTCACACAGATTTAATCCCGTTCCTAAGGAAGGGAATAAATATTTATATGGTAGCCTGAAAGTAAACTGAAAGATAATATTTTTCAAAAGGAAAAGCTTTTAAAAGCAGAATCAACTTTGGTTGCCAGTTGTTAGTTTGTTGTCACTGTTGTTATTATTTTTAATTTCTTAAAGGTTTTTCCAGTTAGTTCATTTATTCTTTTTTATACATATTTTATTTTTTCATGTTTTTCATGAAAAAAACATTTAACATATTTTGCATAAAATTCCATCATTTATGACAACACCGCTGCATCCAAGTCCTACCAGCATTATCAAAGTAGCTTAAGTGTAAAATAGCTGTTATTTTGTGGTTCACGTAATCAACAGTTAAAATTCAGAGAGTTCATAGATGTTGTGATAATTCACAAACAAATTTCAGATGAATAATTTAACCGGATAAATAACCGTGTGTGAATTTCAATGCCATTAAAGAAGGGGAAGTGAACACAAATGGATTAAATGTCATCGCCTCTCATGCATATTTCACAAAGTTATCAAATAGTTAACCAAGTCTTCCTCCAGCCTCTTGTGACTCAAAGCGAAACCACTGTGGCACCTCAGTGGGGAGGCTCATAAACGTAATGGATTTTAGAACTGGCTCAACACATTTTCTTAAAGAAGAGTTTGTGTGACTTAATGAGGCATAACTAATGGAGGTCCCACAATCATCAGCACCATGCTGGACGCTCTGTGGCGGGACACAGCAGCCATTGATTCTTGCTTCAGACCTCTTGAGTTCCTAATCAGCTTCTTTAGTTGTGCGTTTCAGGCCTGACAAACCTATTGTTGGCCTGTGTCACTGGAGGTCAGTAGTTATTAGTGGCAACTGAAAACAGTTTCTCTAACTACTTATGAGAGAACTGAATAACGTGCAGAGGGGGACTTTGAGGGGGGATTACGGGCAGCGCCGCGAGTCCGGTCGGCACAGACGAGAATGTGACATGGTTTTCTAATAAGGGATGCCCTCCTACCTCCCGAACACACTCACACTGGCGCACACACCTAACCTGTTCCTCAAACCTCCGCCCCCTCTCTCCTTTTGTAATCTCCAGAGGGCTACATCGGGCCTTCAATAAGCAGTATTGTAAATTATGTTCACAATAACTGGTATTAGCCTCCGAAAGTCCAGGAATAGCAAACCTGGGAGTTCAGTTGTAGTTCATGTCAGCATCACACTGAAGGCCACGGTAAAATTGTAGCTTCATCTGTTTCATTACATGAAAATCTATTAAACTGAGAGATGCATTCAGTGTCCTATGACCTCCTTGAAATGTTTTTTGTGTCACTTTACAGGAAGATTACTATTTGCATACATAATATGTTTCCATTTGGAAAATTACTTGAATTGGAGAACTTTTTGCTGTCTGGAGCAAAAACTTGGAGTGGAAACCAAACAAATTAATCAGGTACAGGCCGCTGTGGAAACAAGAGACTCTGCCTATCCTTCAGAGAATACGAGGGCAATACCCTAATTAAAATCTTGCCCAGCGTCTCTCCAAACTTGCAAATTCAAAGCATTCACTCTCTCAGTGAAATGAAAAAAGCTGCCCTCGCTAATCATTTCACATGGGGCAAGATTTGGGGACCATTTCTGGGAATCAGGAACAGAGGAGAACGTGAAACTTGTAGGAGTAAACTCTGAAAATTACGGCCGATTTAATTCCTTTATAGCGTGACATATGGAGATTCATGCTGCTGTTAAAAAATGGAAAATGAGAAGGACTCATCTGTTATTAACCATTGTGTTTTCAGGAGTAATATGGAAACACCATCGCCACCATTGCTAAACTAGCTCGGGCTGTGCTTTTAGCTTTCCGTTTCAATTGTAATTTATTTCAAAATGGATTATAGGAGAGAGAAATTTCCTCTTTTTCTACAGACAAAATAAAAAAGTAAACACTGATTTGTGTTATGCCAGTATGTTTGGGCAATGTTTCTGTGTAAACTATACAGCCAATAATGTGAAGCCTTTGCCAATTAGCGCTCTCTAGGTTGCTAGGTCACAATGGTCAATTGAGGAACACATCAATAGGACTTGAAAAGGTTTCTCTGCGATCAGACCTTCTGACATATTAAGTAGAATAATGGGGAGGAAGGGAGTTGGGGTGGAGGTTGGATGGGGGGGGTTACAAAGACGGAGGCAAGGCTTCCTTCTACATTCATAATATGCAGTGCAACCTGCAATTACCTGTGAAGAATAGTGAAAGAAATCCTTTACATCAGTGAAACAAAATGTCTCCTGCTTCAGGCTTTATGCTGTAACTACACAGCAGTGGTGGAGGGATGAACTCCTGTCCCGGTGGAAATATCTGCTTTGTGTAAAAGAGGCAATTCCATAAAAACTGAGTTATTCATCCGCTTAGCTTGGGTTTGTAAATGTTTGTGCAGGCGCATGAACAGGTGCTCACATGTGTGGGAGTGTGTGTTGGGAATGCAGACATCCTTTTAAGCAAGCCTTCAAACTCCATACATGGCGGTAATGCTGTAGCTAACGCAGACCCCAAACTTTCCAGACATAAATGATGATGTCAGCACCAATTACAGTGCCCAGTCTGTCTCATATATCCGTACAAAGGGAGGTACCCCACAATAAACCGAGAGCAACAGGCACAATAGCCAGTGATTACCAAGCATAGCCTATTAGTGTGCTATAACTATGGCTATTGAAAAGAGAAAAGAATGGCTACACCTCCACTTTCATTTCATGTGGTCCACCATCAAAAGCTTTGCTGACAGCTCATTTATGCCCTCAATTCAGAGACAAAATCTATCAGAAGCATCTTCCAGCATCAAAGTGTATATTGAGGAATGTATACCTGTTTTTTAATGTTTTTTTATCAAATTCCCTTCCACTTTTGTGCTTACTTCCAAATGTCAGGTGCATATTGGCTCTGGCACTTCCTTGGAGTGTAGGGATGATAGCACATATACATACAGCTGTCAGGTATGTGAAGGGGCTGGAAATAGAGGCCCTCCAAGGTCTCCATCGAGATACACTGATAGCCATCATCATCATCACAGGGTGTCATCAGCAAGGAGATTGAGAAATAATTTCTAAATGTGTTTAAATGACCACAGAAAATGGAATTTTACTTTTCTATTATCAGACGCTAGCGGTGGAAAAAATTATTTGGAGGACAGAAGCAGAGGGGAGCCGACACTGATGCTAAGTGATGACCTTAAACACTTGTTTTTACAAGTCATGAATCTTATAAAGAGACTGAGTGAGTCTCTGTGTGAGCATCTTCGTGTGTGAAACATTTCTGTTTCTCAAAAATAAATCATTTAGACATATATTTCAAAATGTCATATTAAAAAAACAGATTCTTGTCAAACATCTGTGATGCCTTAAGATATTTTACACATGAAATTAATATAACAATGAAATTATTATTTTAAAAAACAGATAAATTGGCCAAGTGAACTGAAATGTTAATATTTAGATTTTTATCAATTATAATGAGTATACTGATAATTGTATAATGTTTTTCTGATTTTTGATTACATTTCAGCCATGTTTTATTTTATCTAAGCATTCTCAGGATTGTTAATATTCTAAATAATAACATTAATAATAATAATGATAATAATAATAATAAACTGTCCGATCCTAACCTATCATGTAGCATTACATCCATTCCATGCTTAAAAAAAACTATACAAACGCACTCATTGCAATAATTGACCGTAATTGTGTATTTCATGGAGGCTCGCATCCAGGATAAAACTGACCAATTACACCGCAGCAAAACGAAAGGACTAGTCCTGCTATAGATAGTAAGGTCAATATGATTGTAGGGTTTTTGAAAACAGGAAAAATACATTAATACAAAAATGCATAAATTGATGTCAACATTGAACCTGCTGAAAAGTGCTAGTGATTTTAAAAGGGGTGATTTCCCGGTCTTGTAGTCTTGTAGACATCCTCCTATGAAAGGCAGACCTCCAAAATGTCACCTGAACAATACTGGCTCCCTCATCGACCTTGCTTTCCAGCTCAATTTGGTCTCCATCACAACATAATGAAAATGCACTCCAAAACAGATCCTTTAAAAAAATTAGTTGTCCAGGAATACCTCTCACACTTCAAGTTATTTATTGTTAACGTTCACTTGTTTTTGAAACATATACAGCAGCCATCACGCATTTGATCCTTTTTAAGTTACAAAAAAATAAAGAAAACATAAAAGTGGACGCAATAACGATTATTATACAGTTTAACGCATTCGTGTGTGTTAGCCAAATATACAAGTCCCTACTTTATTCAGTAAGTCTAAATGAATACATTAGTTTACAATATTAATATGATAGAATACCAGGCTTTCACCGAAATTAAAGGAGTGTTGGCTTAGTGTGCTTCAAACCTGATTCCCCCCCTAACCCCCCAAAAGTTCGGATAACTGAAGCAGCATTCCTTTTTGTTTCAACGACATAGACTGCATTTTAAAACATCATGAGGAAGGTCCAAAACATGAATTACAAAAGGTCCAGAAACAACACGATTGCTTCGAAGGGCAGTTATTTGTGAAATGTTTTAAAAATAGACTGCCTTGGCAGAGACGTGAAGAAAATGTGCCCTGATCAGGTGGTGCGCCTCTGTGCGCCAAAGGACCCTTTCCATGTATGTATATATATATATATGTAAATATACATACACACACAGATATATGTATATATATATATGTATATATATATATATTTGCAGGTTCAAATAGAAAAAGTGGAAAGTGACAGTACTGTTGGGTCCTACCACGTTCTGCCGTAGAGAAGGTTTGAGCTGACCATGTTATTGGTGTAATCTACAGCTGATGTGTCTATCTGGGCCATGTTGAGCTGGCTGTGCAGTGAGGGGGGGCTCGGTGACATCTCCTCCAGCTCCAAAGCGTTCACCTGCTGGCCCTGGTGCTGCTGCTGGCCCTGGTGCTGCTGACCCAGGCCGCCCGCAGACCCGGCCAGCACCACCCCGGCTCCGTTCTGCTGCTGCTGCTGGTTCTGCTGCTGCTGCTGGTTCTGCTGCTGGTTCTGCGTCGGCGTGTTGGAGCCGTTCTGACACGGTTTGCCGTCCTTCACCAGCACTGGCACGGCCACGCGCCTCGGGGACTGCGCCTGCTGCTGCTGAGCCTGCTGCTGCTGGCACAGGTTGCCGTCCTGTTGCGCCTGCTGCTGCAGCTGCTGCGCCGCCTTGTCCTTGGCCTGGCGCTTCATCTTGTACCGGTGGTTCTGGAACCATATTTTCACTTGGGTCGGCGTCAAGTGGATCATGCTCGCCAGGTGCTCCCGTTCCGGCGCCGACAGGTATTTCTGCTGCTTAAACCTCCTCTCCAGCTCGTAGACCTGCGCTTGCGAGAAGAGGACGCGCCGTTTCCTCCTGGGCGCCGCGTGCAGAGCTGGCATGGCTTTGCTGGCGTCAGCCATTCCTGTGAGACCCCCCATGCCAGCCATGTTCATACCTGTGGAAGGTCCCATGAATCTAGAAACTTAAAAATATACATACATATATGTGCGTTCAATAAACAGAAGAGGAGAACACTATTTCGCCTTAAGTAGCTTTTTTTTTGTTTAGTTTTAAACGATTTTTGAAGTTTAAAAAGCTCAAACTAAAAAGAAAACAATAATAATAATAGTTATAATAATTATATTAATAATGATAATGATAATAATAATGATAATGATAATAATAATGATAATAATAATAATATAAATGCCATTGGTGCCAAAGATAAAAAGTCGAGACAGATTTGAAAGAATGATCTCCTTTTCAGTTTAATAATAAAGTACAAGTCAATTAGAGAATTTGTAAAAAATAATAATAAAGCAAATGCCCACATAGCCAACACTTTTCATCTTTAGCATTAAATGAATGTTTTTACTGAAAATGAAACACACCGAGTTGTGTGAGTTTCATGCTCGTGCTCCATCAGAATTATTTGTTTTCGTTTGGTGGCTAATATTCGCAAAAGTGTGTTTAAAAAGGAAAAAAAAAACGAACTTACTTGTGGAGTATCTGGGATCGGGGTTGGCGCTGTACCAGCCTGTGGCTGCTGCGCTATTCCGCATGCTTTCCTGGTACGACGGGAGGTCTCCCATGTTGCCAATGCTCCCATTGCAGTATCCCCCCATTGCGCTGTGGGAGAACTGGGAGACGCTGTGCGGCATGTGATAGGTGGTGGCCACGGTGCCGTTGTGGCCCATGGAGTGCTGTTGCATGCCGGTCTGAGACACCTGAGGCTGCCGGTAGGCTCCCAGTGGAGAGGTTAGGTTCCCTGCGCCGTCCATGCCTCCAAACTTCTTGTAGGTCTCCTCGATTGGACTCAAAATGTCTGTCACTGAAAAAGGCGTAGTGTGCTTTGGGCTCAACGACATGATTCAGAGAGCAGGTAGATTTTTGTGTTTGAGCAGATCAACCGTGTTGTTGTATCGGCTCTCTCCTTGGTGGATGTCGACGTAAGAGAGTGCTTGTAGTGCGCCTGAGATCCTATTGATCGCCTTGGAGAAGGAGGCGAGCCCAGGGCGCTCTTAGCCCGGGTTTATTGGAGCCAGGAGCCAGGTTTACGACAAACACAGGGGGCGGAGCAAAACTCCTAAAACCCGCAAACAATAGTCATTGACATTTTAGGGAAATAATTCATGAAAATACACTTCGGCTTATATTAACTTCTGCGCACGAATAAAACGGTTCACGTGTTCGTGATTCGGTTCTTTTTGGACAACTTTATCAGGGTGAGAATAAGCTCATTGTGGTCAATACACAGCTGATCTGACCACATATGACTGTTTTGCGTCAGTGGGGAATTCCACTCTTTCTAAAACTTTGAGAGCACTTTGAAAAGACATAAGAGCCACCGAGTATCATCAAAGAGCCACAATGAAGTTGTATGACCGGCTCATTTATGCTTCTTAAGCATCATTTTGCCCACCAGAGAGGGAGAAGCCCCAGCAAAAGATCAGAACAACGACACGATGAAAGGGAAAATGCAAGGGGAGATCCAAACTGTGGATTTTTTTTTTTTACTCGAACACTGAGACACATAACGAGGATGTTGTACAGGGCGAGCCAAAAGTCACCACTAAGTTTTTTCTCGAGTCCAAATCATTTTTGGAGGAAATCTAAGTGTGTTTATTCGTGTTTCTTAGACACATTTCGTCACAGCTGGATGGACTTTAGAGACACAATTTTAAGCTTCCTATACCCTGGTCAACATGCATTAATGACACTTCGCAGTCCTGACCCGTCGGTGTAATCTCTGTGCAAACTGACTGGCGCCAGGGGAAGAATAAGAGGGAGAGCAACACAACAAGGGGGTCAAAAAAGAAAAGAGCTACCACACACTGATGAACAGCAGTTAATAAAACTTCTAATTACAACCTGCTGATGTGGATCTGTAACATTTCCGACCCTGTATCAGATAACAATAGAAAATGATCGTCCTTATAATAACTATATATGATTAAAATGAGATATTTGATTTATGAATATATAGGCTATATAGATTTAATAATAAATTACAACGATAGACACGATAGGATGTTCTAAAGGTAGTTTTTTCTTACTTGTTTTTCGTACTTGTGGTCCCCCCTACACACACACACACACACCACCCCCAGTCCCTCACCCCTGAGTTTCTTTATTGCATAAAGAAGAAAACACTTGTCTGTATGAAGCCACTAATGTAATTTAGTTTGACATGGAACCAAGTAGCTACCTATCCTAATTGAGCAAATGAAGATGTGACATGGTCAGCCATCAATTACAGCTGCACAACAAGAACATCAATCCCCAGCAAGTTCTTATGCTGGATATAATAAATACCCATTCCTGTTTTTGTGTCATACACCACGATTTCTTCATTTTCCCCTTACCTTTTTTTTTTAATTTCTCCAAATTTCCGGATAGAGTGCCAGATTTAACGTGAAGTGGTTAGACTTTATCATTGGTCAGGAAAACAAAATAATCCGCATATCCAAAATGAGAAAGGAGTTTTCACAAAGACAACGAGGACAGGAAAGCACGAATCTCAAAGATGTATTTTCGACGGACATTTTAGACTGTTGAATTCAATTTGAGCAAAATTGTTGAGTAAATTCATTTTCTTCGGTCTTCATTTTATGCATTAAGAAACAACATTTCCAACCTCCAGATATTCCCACACTTAACCAGAGGTCTGTGTGCCTTTTCCACCCGTTTGCCAACGGCAGGACGTTTCAAGTAGAAAAGAAAGGTAGGCCTCGGCACAGACCTCTAACATTATGGAAATGAGGCAAACCTCTCAACCTTGTGGATTACTGAGTCAGAGAGCAGGACCCTTGTCCAAAAAACCCTCCACATTAGGATCCCATAAAAATCTGGGGCAAGCTGACTGCGTGCAGCTCTGTTTTAGAGCTTATAGCTCACGATATCAATGTTACTCAAGTTCATTTTTGAAACAACTGAATATGAAAATGACCAAGTCACCGATATCCGGATAAACGAACGGAAAGGGGAAGAAGGCCGAGTTAAGGTTGGTGAACAAATCTGCTAATGTTACGTTGAAAAACTGTTTAAAATGCCCTGATATTAATTCTTGATGGATAATTTGTTTCTTTATATTTACCGGATTATACAGTGCGTTTTATTTATCCTGATAAATATTATTGCGTTTATTGAAGTTAGGATTTTTAATTGTGACCCAAAGGACAATTAAACTTGGTGATAACATGGTAATGAAAGTTTTTAGTTCTTTGTAAGAGGTCAGGGAGACATTATGTTCGAGCTGCTGTTAAAAAATATGATCGTTTGGCTTTTCATTTTCTTCATTTTTACCTTAGATGCCATTTCACCTGATCAAGTGTCCTCGGACTCTGCACACCAAAAGCCAAAAGCGATCGTCATTCATTTTTAAAAGATCTAAATTCACAGTAGATTACCACTGCAAAACCGCAATTTTCTGAGATTTAAAAAAAAAATCATGATGATTTTTCTAAAAGAAAAAAAAGAAAAAAAAAGGAATATGCTTGGACTTTATGAAGCAACACTCGGTTCAGTTTTCAATAACTCCAAGCTTTGATCAGACTATCAAGGTGTTGTTATCCATAACCTAAAAACAACCCATTTATGTAGTTGATTTATTTCCTGCAGACAACCTTTTTCCGATATCATCACCCCCTCAGCTCAGCACAGCAGATGGACTCAGGCGCCTGCTTGCTGAAGTGCTTTTCTCCATCTCGTCGATGCGAGTTCAATACCCTGAGAGATGTGGAGAGATGGCTGAAGGGCCAGGGTCCTGACCTGCCAACTCAATCACACACGGACCGAGCACAAAGTGCAGAAAACACGAGGATTTATTCAGTCTTGCAACCCTTAAAACCTTCGACTGAGCTTTGAAGTCATTTGGGCTCTGAAATATGATTTGAAGGAAAATTATTTAAAAAGTAAACAAAATATAAGTTGGTGTTGATTTTTAAAACCGTCTTTTTATGTCTACAAGGCGGAAGAAGTTACACAAGTGTAAAAATGGACATCAAGCAGAAATATGTCTGAGCTACGGGCGAATTCATGTTTCCATTTTACGCACGGCTATACTCTTGTTTCTTTCAGTCGAGCTTCCCGATAAAGTGAAATTTCAAACTATTTATTTATTATCAGCCACTAATTTATAAAACCTAAAATATTATACATGTAAAATGAAAGTTGTCGATGTAAAACAGAACATTTTAATGTGTGAGGTTGAAAATATTGTGTGATTACGCACGGAAACCCTACAAGACATCACCCTGTTAGGATTTTAAATTACAAGAAAAAACAAAACACGGATGCCTTCTTTGCACTAACAATTCTTAAAAGTCATGCAAAAGAAAACTGAATGGAAATGAGAATTTTTAATAAATAGAAATAGTGTGTTTGATATGGAGAATGAAGATCCTGAACGAAACTGAGTGGTTGAGATCTCATCTGTATCTTTCATTTTGCAGCACCAACACATTCGTTTGGTTGTTTTTTCTATTCTTCTAGACGATATTAAATAAGATCGTTTGTCCCATAGCACAGAAATAAATCTAAATTATGAAACCGGCCATCAGCACAAATGGATTATTTTCTTATTCCGAACTTGGACTTTGATTCGCATTTGCATTGTTGCCGACCTGAAGGTTCAATTCGCGTGGAAATTCGTCGAGGAAATTCCACACCTGCAGTCAGTGTAGTACCATTTAGATCAAATACTTGCTGTCCTCTTAAATTGCCGCGCAGTGTGAGAGTAAAAAGCGGGCAGGTGCATATCTTTCAGCTGCACTACTTGAAACGGTGCGGTTCCTCAGCTAAGTAGGTTAAAGGTCCTCCCAAGTGGAGAAAGTATGTGACAGGCCTCTTGAAGACCGTATTCTTCTGCAGGAGTTTGCATTCATTCACAATTAATGTCGCTTGATGGACGAAATGATGCTAATAGGGCGCCAAAAAACAGAATATGGGCTTTAATGGGATCCTTGCCATAACCTAGCTGCTGGGAAAAATGGGGAGCAGAAGAATTTAACATATTGTAATAGGATTAGAGTTCTGAAGATGTTCTATCATAGTACAGTAGCTCATTTACTGGAGTTAATTTTATACAGAAGACATCGGAAACACTTTTGGAGGTAAGGAAGAAACCTTTGGATCTTTGGTTGCAGAAAAAATATAATTTCTTTGACATTTTTTCTATATATTTTTTGTAATGATGTCAAACAATTAGCCTTTTAAATTTGAAGTAAGTAAATCAGACTATGTATTGACAGTGTGATTTTTTTCCTGTGTCACATTTAAAAAAAGTAAAGGAAACCAAACATCAAAAACACACACACAAACATTTTTTCACACCATATCCACTTGTTGAAATTAAATATTGCATCAGTTTAGCATCTAAAATTGAAGCTACTCTAAAAAACAAAGTAAAGCCTCTATCACTACATCCATGTCTGCAGGAATGAAAAGTTGCACATGTTTTGAATAGGATGAGAGCTTTGTACCCAGTTGGCTTTCTTACTCTATAAAGCTGTAGATAAAGAAAAAAAAACATCAGTTATATGAGATTATTACATTCACAATAATCACAGCAAGCTGGTCTTAATTTCCCTGTAAACATGGTCTTCAGACAAATGGCCTAAACTAGATTTAACCTTTTATCTAGCGTGATCACATTTTTTAAATTCAAGGTAGAGAAAAAGCTCTCTGTATTAATATGAACTGTTTTCAAGACTGACTTGTGACTCTGGCTTCATAGGTCATGTTTTTTAGTAATACAACAAATAGCTTGCACACAAAGACACATGTTAACTGATTCTGTAATTCTGTCAATTATTTGCTGTTTTGTTTGAGATTGGAAAATTTTGCTTCCGGAAATTTTAGGTGCTCAGGTCTCTGTGAGTGCCGGTGTCCTCTGCTTTTGTTTTGGAGTGGCAGCATTTCAGCATAGTCGCTCTCTTTTGTAACAACAGTTTAAAAATGTGCGCGGCAGCAGATCAAT